TACTTAAATACCCATCAGTAGTGGACACTGCTCTTTCTTCTGTCTTTCCAAAACAAACACCTTATACTTCTTCGTCAGCCTTGTTCACAAAGCCCATTTTTCTTTCCATGACTTTGTAAAACTTCTGGATTTTTTTTAAAATAAATGTGAAGCCTATTGTGCAATGTCCCCCAGCTACTGTTTCTGAAATTACAGACAGTACTTGCTGTCTTCTATATTTATTGTTAAGTAATCAAATCCTTTCTGTGTGGCTTCTGTGTTTTATATCATTCTCAAAAGAGTCTTACATGCTATTGTGACTATCAAAACAAAAGACCAGACCGAGAACATATCAGCAGCACAGTGCCTGCCTGGCAAGCATGAGGTCATGAGTTCGATTCCAGGTATTACCACCACACACACACACACACACACACACACACACAAGACCTCCAAGTCTTTTGTTGGTCATTCCAGTCTCTCCCTTGGCTCACACCAACTGTGGATAAATATAGGTCTCCACAGTGCCAATTTTCATGGCAAGATCGGGATGACATTTGCCCCTCTTAAGGAAATGGTGAGAAATAAAGCATTAAAACACTGAAATTCACTGTGCACAACACAGTCCTCCCCAGCAAGTGCACCCACAGTGGTCCCTGGGTTACAGCAGCCCGAGGACAGGCTCACCATTGCTAAGCAGTTTATCACATATGTTTGGCTTCAGAAAGAATAATGTTCTCCAGCATTAGCAACTGATGGAGAAAACAAGTTCTTTTCACAGGATTGATCCTGATTTCCTCCCAGTGTACTTTTTGAGAAAGCCAGTTAAGGGTGTGAATGAAAGGACAGACAGAAAACACCATCAGTTAACAGACTTTGCTGAGACACCATGTATCATAGAAAAGCAGAAGCCTGCTCCAATCCCTGACACAGCATTTTCATACAACACACTCTTAAGTTTAGCTCACATAAACATGTCAGCACCATGAGGTGTGGGCCTCAGTTTCTTCACATTCAATATCTCAGGGTGCTCTCTGAATGTTCATTAGATAAACAGACTGTGTGAAACATCTCACCCTTCAAGATAGTAATAATAACAGTAGTAGCATCACCACCACAACAACAAAAATATCAGAGCCCCAAGAATCAACTGGCGACTTTTCTCCTTCAAGTTCAACTTCCGTGTGTCATTAACTGTCTGATGCATATTTTATTTTAACATCTCTGAAGTAGGAATGTATCTTACAACTCTATGGCAATGTTTTTATTTCTTTCTCAGATAACAATGGGACAGCTGACAATCGGTGTGGATGCCAGTGAAAGCAGAACTGGATATTGACACCCATCTCTCCAGGTCCCGACAAAGAAACTAAGGCTTGGGGACATAATGGGATGAGTCCAAGGTCATACTATGAGTGATAAAAGCGAGATTCAATCTCAATCCACAGGGACAGAGTCAAATCCCAGAGTCTGTCAGTCCCTCCTATTGGTTCTTGGAAATTCAAAGTTGGAACTAGAGGATGTGACCTCAGGTGGAATATTAGAACGTCATTTTTTTTTTTTTAATCGGTACCAGGGATCAAACTCACGACCGCCTGCTTGCAAGGCAGGTGCTTATGCCACTGAGCTAAATCCCCAGCTCCGAGAACCCCATTCCTGTACCTTTAATGTCCCAGAACAACCAGAGGTTTCTGAAAAGCTTGCTACGAAACAAAGGAAAACATGATTGAAGGAAAATATGCTTTTTGTACAGTTCAAAGTTTAAGAAGCCCTTTACATGAAATGGCAAGGAACGCTTCCTTGTAGGGCACATGGAGAAATCTCAGGGGAAAAGACCATACTATAGTCTTAGAAGAAACTGCAGTCTGTTTTTTAATGACTTTCAAAAGGAAAAGTACATATCTGTTCTGGTTTTCTGTGTATCTTTTGGGTGGGTCCAGTACGACTTCCTTTTGAAGCCATCCTGTAATTCCTTGTGCACATTTTGCGTGTTGCCTGAATGATAATTATTTGCACATGTGTTTCCCTTCTACCTAGTGAGCTGTCGAAAAGCAGAGATCACCTTTCCTTTTTATGTAGTCTCAGGCACACAACGGGGACTCAAGGAAGCATTCCTGAGGAACCAAACGAGCTCAGGAATATGATAATAAAAAGAACTGCCCGCAATGTCAGCAGATACCTAAATGGCTGTTCACAGACACGGCAGCGTGGTGCACGCCGATGACCTTTAACACGAATACACTCAGGCCAGTGCGAGTCAGCCACCCTTTTATAAGGTCCTCTTTCCCTCACCACCCCAGAAGCTCCCCAGACTGCACAGTCACACCCTGCAAGGAAGGAACATTACCTTGGATGACCTCTCTGCTGCTGTGACAACAGAAAGCAGGCCCCTTTGTGTGCTGAGCTACATCTTAGGGCTCTGCTCCTTAGGCATGGGGCCAGTCACCTCTGCCTCCTCACAGTGACCAACTTGAAAACTAAAGATAAAGACAAATTTCAATAGCCACGAGCCAATGGTCAAGTGTACGGCTGGTATGCACCTCGCCACACCCTCGCTATGCTATAGTTCTGAAAATAGCTGACCTCAGAAAGACTCACAGATAAGAACAGCTGCATCCTGCAGCTGCAGGCAGCAAAATCAGCGAGCGGACGGGTTGCCTCTGCAGCCTAACGGCAGAGCACTATTCTCTGCCGTTCTCCTCGTGGGTTATAGAGAGCAAAGCCATCCAGTGTCCAGCACAAAGGCTACTGTGAGCAGGGAAGGAGTAAAAATGATGACAAAGGTCTCCCATGGTGGTGCAGGAAGGGACAAAGATTCCTTAACTACAAAGAATCATCCTACCACCCCCAAGTCAGCACCCCAGCCCCCATAGTGAGCACTGAATAATAGTAAATGTGCGAGTGCTTCCCGGGAGTCACACACCCTCATTTGCAGAGCAGCACAGGCACTGTTTCCCATTCAATTATGAACAAACTGAGGCCGACAGGACATTTACCGATTTACCCAGGATCCCCACAGGGATGACTCCTGGATCAGGAATTGGACCTGGGGGCTGGGGATTTAGCTCAGCGGCATAAGCACCTGCCTTGCAAGCAGGCAGTCGTGAGTTCGATCCCCGGTACCGATAAAAATGAAAAAGACAAAAAAAAAAAAAAAAAAAAAACGAAAAGGAATTGGACCTGGCACCTGTCTGCATGCCCCTATTCTAGCACTGGCAGCCAGCACTCCTTCAGCTCAGCTTTGGGCTCAGGCCCTCAGATTATATAAACCTGCAGTCAAAGTTCCTTCTCGACTGTTCTCTTCCTTGACTGCAATGCGTTTGTCTTCCACTTTTTTTGCATTGCCCAGAGTGTCTGCCATAACAAGGTGCACCTACTTTGTTATATAACATAGGTTTAAAAATAAAATCATTTCAGGGCTGGGGATTTGACTCAGAGGCATAAGAGCCTGCCTTGCAAGCGCAGGTCATGAGTTCGATCCCCGGAACCAAAAAAAATTAAAATTTCATCGTTTCCTAAAACTTAAACTCAGGCACGAAAGGACTAAAAGAAAATAACTGACACTAAACTTCTATTTCCAGTCACCCTTTAAAGACTATGGTGAAATAATACAACTTAGTTACTTTCCAGACAGAGAACAGTTTATTGGCAGACACCTAGACTGTGACATCTCCAGGCAAAAGAAAAATGATGCTAGGTAGAAGCTGAAGCTGCAGGAAGATACAAAAAACAAAACCAAACAACAACAAAAAACAATAGAAAAGATTGACATGCAGGTAAGTCTGCATAAATTCTGAGTGTAGAAGACTTTAAAGTAAGCCTTGGGGGTATTATACGTGCAGCACTGAAACTCATACAGGGCAACAAAGCCAAATATAAGAGAAGGAAAAACAGGATCTAGATCTTCTCAGGTTATTATATTATCTGAAAAATGTTCAACACTCAGTACTTATAACATATCACCCCGAGAACACATGTTGTAATCCCTAGGGTTTCCATTAAAAGTAAATCACAAAATGTGTAATTAATAAGCTAGTAGAGGAGGAAACAAAAAAGAAAATACTTGATCAATTCAAAAGAAGACTTGATTAAAAAAGGGGGGGGGGACTAAAAGAGAGAGAAAATAGAGAACAGGACAAATAGCAAAGTCAGTTGGTAGATTTAAACCCAAATCTGAGTAATTCCACCCACACTGAACTCTTCAGGGTGACTAAAACTACCAGAATAAAAAATAAAAAAAATTAAAAAAAAAAAAAACTGCATGCATACGCTCCTTACCAGAGACAATCTTTAAACAAAGACACAGAAAGTCCAAGTTAAGAGACAGGGAAGTAAGAGGGAAAGGAATGGAGTGGGGGTGGGGGGATATGTCATGTACAGGTATAAATTCCCTATGATGAATGTTATCACTATAATATTTTTTTAAGACAGAAATAACACGCAACTTGAAATACTGTGCTAGGTTTTCTTTCTTTTTTTTTTTTTTTTAAATAATTTTGGCAAAATCACACTAACTTCTAACCACCCTCCCTCCACTCTACTGCTCCTGAATGCTCATGACCCTGGAAGAAATGCGTAATTCTGGAAGGCTTCACTGAGTTTAAATGTTGATCTTCAGAGACCAAAGTGCAGAGAAAAGCACATCTTCAGATCTCAGCTAAGGACACAGATAAGGCCTCTGGATGTATTTCATTCAACAAGGGCTCACCAGCCACCATGGTTATGACCAACCAGGTGTTCTGGACAGACACAACAAAAAGTCACAAAGGCAAATCCCTCGTGAGGAACATAGCATAGGCATCTCCAGCTGATGAACAGAAACACATATCAACCATTAAAAGAGAACATTAACCATTAAAAGAAAAATCTTTGTTATACATTAAGAGTCCATTAACTCCTGGGACCCCATTGAGCTTGCCTGAAGAGGAAGACTGTGCACAATCACGCCTAGGATCAGCCACTACTCCCCGCTGCCCGTGCCTGAGAAAGAGGGAGCAGAGACCGCGGCCAGGACTCCATACCTGAGTGGTGTCCTCCATGAGCCCCCGGATTTTCTCCACCACATCATTGCGCCGGTGCTGCCGCAGGGCGCTGATGAGCTGGGCCAGGCTGGCCTCGGGGCCACGCACCGTCCAGTGCTGCAGCGCGGCGTAGGCCCGCTCGTGGTCGGCTGTATACCCGTTGGAGAAGGCGGCCACCTCCCTCTCGCTGGCATTGCACAGGAACTGGTAGATGTCCTTCCACTGGCTCCCTACCTGGGCTGCCACCAGCTTCAGGATGTCGATCCCTGTGCCAGACACCAAAGGATAGAAAGACAAACACAGGAATGCGTGAGGAGGAGGAGGAACTTCCCTATTGTGCTGGTCACCACGGCCAGGTTTCCAGGGCAGACTCTACTTCCCGGGCTGGGGTACGCTCAAGGGTCCATCCCTCGCCCAGTCTGTACCAGGCCCTGGGCTCATGCCCAGCACTGAATAAAGCAAACAAGCAAAACCAGGGTGATAATTTAAAAATTGTTCACTTTCCAATTGTAGAACGAGAAAGCAGATTGTTCTTAGGACTATAATACATCAACCCCAAAAGACATTTTGAAAGCCAAACCCAAGAAAGGGAATCAGAGTGAGTCCTTTGTTATTTCTAATACAACTATAACCAAATAAATTAGAATCCCCAAGACTAAGAAAGTGGTGATTTCAAGAAATATAGAGAAATAGAAGCGCCAGATTAACAGTGCAGTGGACGCCATCTCTGTAAGAACACACAGACTCTGAGACCTGTGTTCTTCGCCCAGCCGACAGGGTTTGCCCAATGGAAGCATTCCTTATGGACATCTAAATTCTTGACTCTAATTCTATTCTTAACAAGTCATTTCCTGGGCTATTATTCAGCTTTCTAAGTTGACTTCTGCCATTATAATGAGCACAACAGCCACAGTGACAGAGTACTAATAATAGCTCTTATCTTGCAGGTATTATGTTAAGGCATTAGCTCACAGAACATCTTTATAAAAGTATTAACATTCCAATTGCACAGGTAAGACACACGAGCACACACACACACACACACACACACACACACACACACACACACATACTGGGTAAGTTAGGTTTCTGCCCAATAGTACAAAAGCAAGTAGTTTGGGTATTGAATTTAACCTCCCATAGGTATAAACCATTATGAAATGCATGGGCACAGGCTACCAATGCCCATTTGTGTCCCCGCTCTGCCCTCCAAGATGTGGTAGAGGCCACAAATAATACCTGACCTTACAACCTAAGTCCTTTCCCACCCCGATAGGGTTACATTTTCTGCAGTGTGAAATGCAACAGGAAAGCAACAAGAACTTTCTTCTTCTTCTTCTTCTTCTTCTTCTTCTTCTTCTTCTTCTTCTTCTTCTTCTTCTCAGCCTCACAGAAGATCCACCCTTATGAGGTATCTTAGCAACCTAGGCCTATGGATTTTTCTTTACCAAATTGAGATGCTCACCTTTGCATTTAAAGAAACCACCTCCTGACTTCTCTTTGGCACGTCTGAGTGGCCAGCAGGCTGTTCCTGCACACTGGAATCATTATTAGGTAAAATGAGCTGACACCATCACCACCCCACAGCATAGCGGCAGCCACAAACTGACAACCAGGTCAGCTGTGAAGTGGCCAATGGCAGGGAATGCACAGTGTGTACGCTCCACATAAAGGGATGACTGGAGGCTGGAGCAGGGGCAGGAAACTTCACTGCCCTTCTCACAACAGTGTGCACTTGAAAATTCATGAATGGTTGCTTTCTTCAATTTTCCACTTAATCTTTTTGGACTTCGGTTTACCATGGGCAACCCAAGCCACGTGTGGCAAAAATGTGGGTCAGTGGGGCTCCTGCAGTCATTACGTCTTGCTGTCCCTGCAGACCTGTGACTGTGTACCTGGTACACAAAACACACAGCAAGACACCAGGAACCGACCTCAGGTTTACACACGTTGTTGGGTGAGGTCCCCAAGGAGTTGTCTCTGGTGTCCCCTTCCTACAGCACTTTCTCTCTGCCTGTGTCACACCTGGGTACATGTGTAACACTCAGGACGATTCTGGTGCAAACATCAGCAGGGGTCAAAATCCTCAGCTTTCATGAGGCCACACTTGCATCCCCTGACACCAAAATTCTTGTTACCAATGTCTTAAAAATATTTACTGCTAAATTTTTAAAAAGGGTGGAGGGATCATGTTCCCAATAGAAAGACGGGAAAGAGAAGAATATAGAAGAGCTTACGACTGTAAATTAATTAAATTTTCTATTAACTAGAGGTTAACCAGGAAAAAAAATGAGGGGGCTCCAATCAGTTGTTGAGATGTTTTTAAAATGAGCTGTCTCTTCTTGCCTACAGAACCTAGATGTTCTGTAGAAATGGAGGGCATGGTGGTTCCTCAGCGTAAATCCTTGCTTGGCTGCACAATCCTCTTGAGGTGGGTGACTTGGAGAACTGTCCACACACACATCCTGAACCAACCCTTTACAAATCACTTTCAAAACCTAAGCTCCTCAAAGAAGGCTGCATTCTCGACTATAAAAGTTTCAGACTGCAAAAACATTAAAACTGAAAAGAAAAACTGAGAGCCCCCCACATTGAGACGTTGCAAGGGGCCCTCACTGTTTTCCTGGCAGTGTGCGGTGGCCTTGAACCACCCGCATTTCCTTGCCCACAACATTGCTCATGCGGCTTTTGATTTCAGGAACTCAGACTCCTAAAAAAAACCTGAGTCCCATTTAAAACCCTGCAGGTAAGTGTATGGAGAAAGCCAGAGATTTGTGGTTGATGTGGTCGACACTTTCAAACACCGAAAGGCTTCTTAGTCCCTGAGTTTTAATTTAGGTCAATTTGGCGAAGGCCCACAGTGTCTCACATGAAAACGTGACTGTTTTCTTATTAGTAGGACCATTGCTTACATCTTCAAAATGCCCGTGACAGTGCGGCTTCGAGCAAACCACTAAACGTCATATCCATTTCCTTTCTTCACAACAATGACACTCAGGCTGGTCCTGGGTGGTGACTGGTTAACACACGCTATAGACTTAATTTATTTTTGGAAGCTCCTCCACCACACACACTACTAAGACTCTGTATGTCCTAAGTGCTAGAACTTAAGGCTCCATTCATCAGCCTTTAGATGTGCAGCCTTCAGAGAGTACTTAAAGAGTTCAAAGGCTTAACGGCAGCTCCTTCTTCTAAAACCAAGTGTTTAGATTTTCTGAAGCCACAAAATAAAATAAATAAATAAATAAATAAAGGCAGAAAGAAAAACACAAAAGCATGGGTACAGTGAGATTTGTTCCCCATTCAAGTGGGCTGGAAGCTAAATGCAGAGCCTGAAATGAAATTGCGTTTTGCTCGCCTGCCATGTCAGTCTCTCACTGGTCTGCAGCGGGCAAATCCGCACCAGAGCAAATCCGCACAGCTCCCTGGAAAAGCCATCCTTCAGGCCAGCACCCTGGCACAGCCCCCGAGAGGAAGAGCCTATGGCACTGAGCTGACGGCACCTTGTCACTCCGCCACCCTAGCACCCAAGGGAGAAGAAAGACTTCAGGATGTTTCAAGAGCATTTGCAAGCGGCTGCAGGGCTGGGCTGCATTTGCTGGGCAGAAAACCCCTGTGAAATCTGAAGGCAGAAAGAGTTCATCCCCAGGGAAACACAAACCTGTGGAACTCTAAAGGCATCTCCCTGTTTGTTTGCTTACTTGTTTGTTTAGTGCCAGATAAGAAGAAACAACAGCACTATGGAAAAAAGAGGCGGGGTAATTAACCAAGGAGACAGCTGTCTCTGGGGCTAGGAGACCATCACAAAAGGATTCAGAGTTCTTCATGCAGAGGGGGCTAGACGCTGGGGGGGATCTTACCGTACTGCTTCATCTGTTGTTTATCTTGCTATTCCTCTCAAAATGGTAGACCTGACATGTACATATAAACATGCATGCAGTCATCTGCCAAGCTCATGAGTTCTACACTGCAGATTCAGGCAACAGCAGATCAAAAGGGTGGTAATCATTTCTGTATTGAACATGTACAGACTCTTGATCATTATTTTTAAATAATAAAGTATAATGACTATCTACACAGCATTTACCTTGCTAGAGATATGAGGAGTAACACGGAGGTGACTTAAAGTACACAAGATGATTCGTGGGGTTACACACAAGTCTGTGCCATTTTTCCTAAGGGACTTGAGCTGACTTGGACTTTGGTGCCCATAAAAGGGTCCTGGGACCCATTACCCAAGGTCCAGCATGCACTTAATACATGCACACGTGTGTGTGTGTGTGTGTGTGTGTGTGTGTGTGTGTGTATGTGTGTGTGTGTGAGTGTTACAAATGCATATTTCTCAGCACTTGATTTTATGAGTGAGGAATCTCAGGGAGAGGGGTTGGTGACCACAGAATCGCCTCCACTGTCATCCATCCTTGGAAGAAGGGAGAGGGACAGGGAGGACAGAGCCAGCAGGAACAGGACTGCTGCCATCACACAGCACAGCCCTGGTTTCACAGATGTGGTGCCTAGGGGACAGTGATGGTGACACTGTTTATGGATCACACTCAATGCTGAAAGGACTGGGCATTTCCCAGTGCCTCATGCCGGTTACCTACGCCAATAGTTCTCATTGTTTGGAAAGAGATGAGGACACTTAATGAGGAGATTCTCAAGGCAGCAATTAGAGCCTCCCAGGATGGTGACTCCAGGGTTATCCAGGGGTGGCTTCTGAATGGTCTCCTGAGACGTCCATGTGGAAAACGGGAAGATCAGCTTCCCTCCCACAAGCCCTCACCCACCCTCACAAAGGCACTCTGCTGTCAGAGACCCACACTCTGTCCCCAGCCTGCAGAGGCCTGTACTGGGTTGTGCGTGGCCCAGAGACTGGGATGAGGCAGAGCTCTGGCACCCTGGGGTCCACCTTCTACCCCATTCCATGGTCCTGTCCTCTGAGATGCATTTCTAGTCACCTCACCTGCACCCATATTTTACTTCTGCTTTGATGACCACTGTGCCCAACACCTACCAGAGCCTAGTGACATATGGTGACTGAATTAATGAATGAACCAAATAATGAATGCTTTGTGTCACCCCTGCTCTCTGACTAAATTCTCTCTGCCACTCCATCTCATTTGATCACTAAGACCCTGAATGAATGGGGTCCCCTACTGACAAAGCACCCTCTAAACCAGCAAGCCCACACGCTCACATGCTATGGGACCAGAGTATCACCCACACGTCAGCCACAGTGGCTCCCAGCGCAGATTTCAACTGGGAA